TCAGCTCAGATCAGCATACAGAAACACCATGAACAGGCACGGAGTCTTGGTCGAACCTCTCCTCTCACTGCAAACCGAGACAAGCCATAATTCGGCATGCGCTACACGTTTTCAAGCCACTTTAGTCGGAAAACATTCACAGTCTGTCTTTTCTAGAACTTCCCACCTAACATCAACATTTTTTCAGTGTTGATTGCGCCACACTCATTCAAAGCCACGAAGAAGCAACTATTCAAAAACTTGTGGTATTTTCACATCTTTTCCTTTTAATCTCATGCCCCGCAACCATATAGCAAGACAAAGCAAAGTGCAGTACATTATGTGCGCTTTCAAACAAGTAGTCTGATCTCTTGTTAGCGTCAGAGATGATGAAAGTTGGGAAATGCTGGAAAAACCTTACATATCTGGGCTGAAGTTCAGTCATCTGTCAGGCAGTCCAATCTTGCACAACTTTCCGAGTAAGCGGAGTGGTCAACACGTTCCATTACTTCATTCCATATCCCTAAACTGAGAGTAGCTGTGGGACATTCGTGAAACATCACATTAAATATAACAGGTGCGAAATGAATGCTAAGCACACACAGATTTCCGCTTAAGGCACTTGGAAGACTCTACTTTTCGTCAGTATCTTCGCATAACTAAGCAATGTCACCCATATACTCTGAGGCAACCTGATGCCCTCCACTGAGTAAGTCAAACCATCTGAATTCGGACGCATCAAATACTGTGTCCATTACTGCACCTATAACGGAGTTGAATTTGAGTGTAGATAGCAGGCATTCTTGACAAACACCACTAAAGGTTGCCAATGTAGTTCAATAATATTTCATATGGCCACGTGAGTGCAAGCAGAGAGCTTTACTTTGCGTGATATAGTTGCCAGGTAATCTCTTCCCGGTTACACACTACCAGACCAGCTCTGGATTGAAAACTGTGAAGACCACCTTCAAGTAAAGAAATATGGTCTGTTTCGGCCACCGGTAAGTATGTGTGCGTTTCAAAGCCTGACGAAGGATGAAGATTTGGCCGATGCATTCTCGTCCATGTCTAAATCCTGCTTGATATTGTCAAGTTTAGTTTTCAAAAGCTCCCGTTAGGCGTACAATAACTGAAGACCTAAGAATCCTAGCCACGATGTTAGTAAAACTAAAACCTACTGGTTGTTAAATGAAGATTGAACTCCCATTTGTAAAATATAATGATCACGCATGGGTCTACCACTGATTCCCATATTCCAGGCAAGACGAATTTTAGTCTCCTCGAAAATTTCAAATATCTTTTCGTGAAAACTTGTGACGGTAAAATTTACCGTATTCAAAATAAAATGCAATACACAGAGAACGTCTTAGTAAGTCAGAAAGCTGTACTGGGATGCAGAGCATAGCAATACCCGAAATTCTACATAAAATTGTCCCGCGTCAAGATAAAACTTACTTTGAATAATATTTACCGCTACCGTAACAATAAACATTATATATTCAAAGGAAAAGATCATGCAAGTCATGTAATCTTGTGCCTTAGAATTTAAATACTGAATGCACGTTGCCTTAAAATCAGCATAACAGAAAAATATAGTGCTGAAATCAACTCATAAGTTCATCCTATCAGTGAATGCAGCAAAAAACCGTATTCGAAGGCGTGTGATGAATAGCTTTTGGAAACAATGAATAGACTCACACATGTAACCATGCCATTAAAATATGATTAAGCTGAACTACAATTAAATCAATGAAATCTAAATGAAACTGTTTAAACACGCATAACTTCCAGCAAGTGCTTAAAAACGTGATTAGAAAAGCATTGAGTTCATCCATCAGATGAATGCATGCAAAATAGCCCAGTCAACAGTTAACTGAAGTGTCAAATCCTGTTCCTGACTATTGAAACAGAAAGTTGCTTCACAACAAAGAGGTTCAAGCCTGCACTAGGTTCAGCATGACTATGGTCTTGCGTTAAGTGGTCGGATGTACAACGCATCTAAATGGGTAGTTTGTTCTATGCCCATAGAACTCGGCTTCTCTAAGCAAACTCTTTCCAAAGACTGTGTATGACCTGTCATCCTTATGTCCGCTGGATTACTCGCATTCATTGGAGACATGTGATCAGTAATTTTGAAGTAGGGCAAGGTAGGGTACTTAGATGTGACGGAAATCACCATGCAAGGGGTGAATTATTCTTGAAACACCATGTTGAACGGTTTAGACCTGTTTTACAAATATCAACCAGGCGGCTTTCCTGCCGTTCATCGTTAACTTACCGTGAGACTAGTTGAGAATAGCGAAGAGGTGGTTGATATTTTTGTCATGCCACCTAGGAATGAAGAAACAAATTGTGTTGAATTAGGACTCGTCGTTTTCTAATGACTGCCTGGATGGGTTCCTAGAGGTCATGAGATGGAGTGACTCAAGACGACAATAGATATGACTCAGAATCGAATCTCTAAGTTCTTTGGTTGTATACTTGAAACTGTTTCTTTGTCAACCCACATATTCTCTTTAATTTACATACTTCTGTTTTGTTCCTTCGTCCAGTTCAACTTTTATATCTTCTTTTTACCGTCCAATTATTCTGTATTGGCCACTAATAAGGACCCATGTTGTGCCAGTTTTCTGTTCCGAATAAAGAATTCATAATTCTTCACACTGCATTTAAGATTATGAAGCTATAACTTTGAAGATTTTGAAATTAAATAGAAAACAAAGCTGAGCGCTTGGAATTCGTTGTTGTCAACATAAGAAAATTAAACCGTTTTCTCATGTAAAATCCTTAAAAAGTAATTATATAACAAAATAATTTCTTATTTAAAACTTTCTTGGCACATGTGCACAGTTGTCGACATCTTATTGTTTAACATACTTTATCTAATATCAATCCAAATCACGTATCAAAGTAGTTGAAGGATAGAACTAAAATGCACTAATTCAAATTAGCGGTCGGCAAAAAATCGAATCTGTGCTTGAAACTCTTCTTAAACCACATGGAGTTATTTATTCCATCACAAGCTTTTATTTTGTGTCTATATCTTTTGCCACACTGTTGACTGGACCAGTGATTCTACTGGATCATAAATTCGAAGTATGCAGAGAAAGTCTTGACAGACAGCGGATAACTGACTCACTGGATATGAGTCAAACCACACCAAGTGGATGTAGGTTTTGCAATCAGGGAGGGATTTAAGCATCTCCAAGTTGGACACATTCAAAGTACTAATGCACTGGAGTTGACCTTTGATCCTTACTTGACTGGATTCTGACTGAACGAAGATTCCGGTTGATGATTCCTCAGGGTAATGGGCCCTACAGTCTACAAAAACTAATCTGCAAACACTAGCCAACGGGGAACTAAAAGGAATTCTATCTTTCATATGAACAAATTCATTTCCAAAAGTGCAAGTCTTCTTGCACTCGTCTTGCTGTCATTCAAGTTTTCTTGAAAACCTTCGCCTGAAAGGTAAAATTACAACGCTACAGATCATGCAACCTACATAAACAACCAGTTGCTATTCTTCTGAAAATGGAGGATTTACATGGTAAATCTGCAGTGTCTATTCATTTCACTATCTATTGCCAAAAAACTGAAATTGAAAATGTCACAGCATTCACAAGGTATTTTCAAGCTAAATGGAAAGACTGATGGCTGAGTCGCTTCATATTAGGTTAAATCCAATAGCATTAAACACAATGGAAGACCAAGTAATTCCACCAACTTCGACAAGTATACCTGAAAGGATTCACTGTACACACAGGGTATAGCTAAAGTACATACATACAAGCGAACTGGATTGCTTGTTCGTGTTACTTTTTTCTCTTACTCACTCGTGTAAAAGCATTCACATCACCTTGAAAGCAAAAGCATATGATTAATGACGATAAACGTCAATCCTATTTGTTTATCATTTCTAAGTGCAGCATGATCTGATTCGTTCCCACTTACTAATTAAGCATGCGATAACTTGAACAGGTTGTATTCTTTGAAGTAGTGGCTTACATGAGGCCATTAAATATTAGAAATTTGTTTCATATCACACTGATATTTTATAAATATATTAGCTTTATATGCGGTTTAATACAGTGCTCCACTTATTCGTTTCTATCAGGTCAAATTTTGACTATGATTCCTACAATATCACGTCTTTGTTTTCCAAAATGTCATGTAACTGATTTAAAGCGCTATTCAATAATTGTTCAGAATGCAAGTAAGCGATAAATAATCTTTCGCTTTTGAGGCTTGTGGGGACTGATTGATTTAGAGGTAGTAATTATTATGAATTCACTTCACTTGAAGAATCATTGATAAAATGGAAGCAGTGTGCAGCATTCTTGCCCCAATATGGGACTTTTTCAGCAGAACTCACTGAAACCTCAACGTGGGTCCTGTCCGGGACAATCAGTAACTGAAGCGTAACGTGCTTATCACGAAATCTGATAACCGAGGACTTGACCATTGCTACGTTTGCAGGTATATGCTGTTGAGAAGTCCCTTAATAGGAAAAACACCTGTCCAGTTGTTTTCATTTTGAAATGGTTCTCAAACCCATTTCATTCTGTTGAGAATACTGTCTTGGAAAAATTAGCTTTGATTGCCTGGTAAGTCAAGAGTATTGACAGTGAGGTATAGAGTCTGAGTTAATCAGTTCGGAGGCTTGAATATTTTCGTTTCTGTTAAACTGATGTCGATCGTACTTTACAGATTTGTTTGTTTATTAAAACAGGCTACCATGCTACAAGAAAAAAATCGCGATCGGCTGCACGTAACATAGAAGAGTAATATCTTTCTTCTCACAGTTGTATGGTAACGAAATTTCAAATGGTAACCTTAACACCGTTTGTAATGCTCTGTACTTTGATCAGCGGGAGATTTAAGTGGAATAGAAAAAACTGATATACACTTACCGCTCTAACATTCATTTATAGTAATTTTAGTTGTTAACAGTTATGTCACCTAACTGATAAAAAACTGACAGGTCTGAATTCGGAAATATCTACGTATTTTAAACAACAATGAAATTGAAGCCCATTGAAGTTATTTTTCTTGTAAGTTTCTTCTCAATAACATATTCGCTGGTTGAACCATTACGTTTTCTTTGTTCAGCTAATCAAGGCTCATATAGTTTTATTTAGAAAACGAATGTATTCAAGTTTCAAGGAAGCTCATGATAAACCTGATGGTTTAGCTGTACTTGCATTATTACGTAGAATTGACAATTTACTTTATCTTAACGAGAGTCAAATGAGCAGATATGCAAATGTTTCTGGTAAAATTGGATCATATCTTGTACCAGGTACCTCAGAAACATCTCCAGAATTCCATTTACCTCATACACTGTCTTTTTGAAAACGGACAGTTACTACTATTATAGAGGCTCTCTGACAACGCCACCATGTACAGAAAGTGTATTGTGGATCATTTTCAGAGATTCTGTACCAATTACATCCGCTGAGGTAATGACATGTTTTGATAATGATCTTTTGCAACTGTCTTTGTGGATTAGCAACTAATCAGATAGCGCGATATTTATGAGTAAATTACTGTCTTTTGACGAAAAAGTGTAAGGTAATATCCGTTGAATCAGATGTGCTATATTTCTTAAGATCAATTGTCTGTTTTATCGCCTAAAGCAGAAGGAAAAGTTGTGTAGTGGGACAGAAGAACATAAAAAATGTCATTAATGGTTTATTAGGTTAGTTTTCAAATTGACTGGGAGACCTCAGTGCTTGCAAGAACTGGCGCGGAATCACTCTCCTGTCCACCCCAAGTAAAATATTAAGCCGCATCATCCTGGAGAGGCTTAAAGACGCACTGGATTCAAAACTGCGATCGGAACAGGCAGGCTTCAGGAAGTACAAATCATGTGCTGACCAAATTGCAACGCTTCGCATCATCATAGAACAGAGCGTAGAATGGCAATCAGCTCTCTACCTCAACTTCATCGACTTTGAGAAGGCCTTTGACAGCGTCGACCGAGAAGTAATTTGAAAACTGCTTCACTACTACGGAGTACCGCAAACCTTTATCCGCCTCATTCAACAACTATATGAAGATGCCACATGCCAAGTAATCCACAATGGGAAGCTCAGTGATGCCTCTGGAGTGGAAGTGAAGACAGGAGTGAAACAAGGTTGCCTACTATCCCCCATGATATTCCTGATTGTGGTCGACTGGATCATGCAGCAAACAGTAGGCAGTGATAAGAGGGGGATACGCTGGACGACGGAAAAGAACCTAGAAGACTAGGATTTCGCCGATGACTTGTGCCTAATGTCACATAAACTTGAAGATCTACAGGCAAAACTAACAAGTTGATAGAAGAGGCAGAGAAGACGGGACTTCAGGTGAATATAGAGAAGACAGAAGTGATGAAGATACCTCACCACCACCATCAACAAAAACAACAAACTCCAGTCACCATCAACGGGAGAAACTTAAAGGAAGTAACCTCCTTCACTTATCTAGGAAGCACTGTTTCAACTACAGGCGGCACAGGCAAAGACGAGGACGTCAAAGTCAGAATCGGAAAAGCAAGACAGGTGTTCATTAGCCTGAAACCAGTGTGGAGATCTTCTGCACTCAGCATGCGGAACAAGATCCGGATTTTCAACACCAACGTCAAGTCAGTGCTCCTGTATGGTTCAGAGACTTGGCGCGTCACGAAAGGCATTTCCAATAAACTACAGACATTCATCAACAACTGCTTACGCTCGCTGCTGAAGATCAGATGGCCAGAAAGAATAAGCAACAAGGAACTCTGGGAACGAACCAACCAAGAACCTATCGCTGAACAGATATGCAGGAAGAAGTGGAGATGGATTGGGCATGCACTGAGAAGGCCGACTGAGGACATCACGCGTCAGGCCCTGGAGTGGAATCCCCATGGGAAGCGACGAGTTGGGCGTCCGTGGTGAGGGTGACATGGAGGAGATCGTGCGAGGAGGAAATGAGAGCTTGTGGGCTGTCGTGGAACCAGGTTGAAAAGATCTCAGAGAACAGAGGTCACTGGAGGCGTGCTACTGAAGCCCTATGTTCCACTAGGAACCTAAGGGACTAATAATAATAATAATTTCAAATTGACTAAAGCTGTTAAAAAATTAACGCTCACTTTATACGGCATTGTGTTTCTCAGATCATTCATTTATACGCACCTTAAGAAGTCTGCCAAAGGTTCTCTGAAGCTTTAGTGGATAATTATCATTAACCCATGAAGCTGAAACCCAATTTAATAGCAGTTTCTACTGTCTGATGTTCAACGATTTTAGAGAAGTAGTTAAATTTCAGTTGGCACTCATACAACGAAAACCGCCTGCATATTATTTAAGTGACCAGAAGTCAATGATCGGTGAAACCAATCCAGAGTGAGGAGGAGGTTATGTCTAACCATCTGGTGAGACAGAAAACAATACATCTTTTTTTTGGGAGCTTTGAGGTAGGCTTTTATTGCCACCAAATGCTTCTGAGAATCAGTTATTTACCTTATTTATTCTTTATGTATTCGCTGATTTGTAAGCCTGAATAAGCTTAAGCTCTCCCACTTCCAGCAACTCTCACCACATTGGAAGCGTTACTTATGTATGGAAAAATGTACTACATAGGAAGTAGGTTGAGAGGTTCACAATAAAACTGGTGACCTCTTCAAACATGTTATTTTTTCATTTGTTTGACTAATGAGGGCTTTTATATAAAATTCTGCGCAGTCATTCTGAAAATCATAAATACTACTTGCTCAGTAGCGAACATGTATACAAAGTACAAACTGCTGCTGCTAACCATCTCAGTGTGCATATATCAATTTAGCTGCTCCTTTGGAGGTATGTACATAAGCCGTATACTGAAGTAGACTGTTCAGTATTAAAGCCAACAACTTTCGGCATGACTCAGTAAAGGTCAACGTAGATATGTTGGCAGCTTCATAATACAACATTTAGTTGACAGACGACGTATTAACAAAAGATCTGTTCTCACTACTCTACAAAATACCACTTATCTAAAGAATTTGAGGAAACCGTCATTTTGTACTGTTGAAACTCTTCAATAGAACGATCAGAGCAGAAACTGTACACTCAGAAGCAATTCCGCCGTTCATTGTCCTTATTCATCTCCTAAATCTAATACTTTCCAACTCCAGAGTCTAATTAGTCTGTTAATTCTCATATGGATATTACGCAAATGATTTTTGTTTAGATCAGAAACAGATTTCTCATCTACTTGATTGCAGAAAATTATCTACAAACTCTCACACAAATTCTTTATTTCATCATTTCAAATCACCTTTACTTGCTTTTGAAATATTTTCATACTTCGTACATGGTCAGCCTTCCTGTATGAACTTCAGGACCACAAAATACTAAAAACTATTTGCTAACAAATCTGCGAATATTTGCACCATGATTACATTCGAATGTAAATTAAAAGCTGCAGGGGATGATACCACCGAAAACATTTGTTTTTGCTGAAATTTTTATTACTTTGAAAAAATATCATTGACCCCTTCACACAGGATAGCGGAGAACCAGACGAAGTGACTTTATACACCCCCAGATTATTATTATTATTGTTTTCCCCTGAGTTCCAAGTAGAATATAGGGTTTCACTAGCACGTCTTCATTACACTATCTTCTCTGCAGTTTTTTCAACCTCGCTCCACAACTGCCCACAAGCTTTCATTTCTTCCTCACATGATCTCCTCCATGTCACCCTCACCTCCGACGTCCAACTCGTTGTTTCCTCTTTGAACTCCACTCGCATGCCTGGAGCGTGAATGTCTCAATAGGTCTTCTCTAAGTATGCCCAATCCATCTCCACTTCCTTCTGCATATTTGTTGGGTGATAGGTTCTTCGTTGGTTCGTCGCGAGCCAGCCAGAGTTCCTGGCCGCTCAGTATTATTATTCTGGTCATCCGATCTTCAGTATCGGGCGTACGCAGTATAGAGTGAGCGTAAGTGGCAGCTGTTGATGAATATCTGTAGTTTGTTGGAAATGTTTTCCGTGACATGGCAAGTTTCTGAATCATATAACAGCACTGACTTGACTGGATTGGTGTTGAAAATCCGGATCCTGTTCACGCCTTTGCGGAGTCCAGCAGATCTCCACACTGATTCAAGATTAATGAAAGCCTGCCTTGCTGCCTTTCCGATTCTGGCTGGTTTCGACATCCTCGACTGTGCCACCGCCTGTATTTGAAATGATGCTCCCTAGTTAGGTAGGTAGATGCAAGAGACTACTTTCTTTAGGTGTCTCCCGTTAATGGGGATTGGTGCCTCTTGTTGTTGATGCTGTTGTTGTTGTTGTTGTTGTTGTTGGATATCTTCATCACCTCCATCTTATCTACATTCACTTGAAGTCCCACTTTCGTTGTCTTGCCTTTTCTGTCAACTTGTTAGTTTTCGCCTGTAGATCTTCAAGTTTGTAACACAGGACATCAGATGTGAATCCTCATCGTTGGAGAAATCCAAATCTTCTACTGGGGTCTTTTCATCTGTCCAGCCAGCATATGCCGATCTTCTCGCCACTCATAGTTTGCTGCATAATCCATCCAGTCCACCACAATCAGGAAGATCATGGGTGATATTAGGCAGCCTTGTTTTACTCTTATCTCTTGTCTTCACTTCAAACGCCTTCCATTGTGAATCACTTGTTATGTGTCGTTTTCATATTACTGTTGAATGAGGTTGATAACGATTTGTTGCACTTCGTAGTGTTGAAGCAACTGTCAAATTACTCCCGGTGCATCTGCAGGAATGAAATTACGTTTGAGAAATATCACAACTGATATGCCGATGTAGACAGAAATGAAGTTTCATTCCAAATTTTTGATGTTAAACGCACTTTCGGTAACAAAAACGGAAGATTAAGGGAGATCTGATGTACGATCTATTGCGACCAAACAATAAGAAGTTAGAGTATATCTGAAAGGTGTTATTTATTAACTCAGTGTATTTCAGAAACAAAACACCAGCTTATTGTATTTATATGAATTATAATAAAGTATAACCATTTGGATAATGTAATTAAAAGAGGTAGAAAGTCTGAAAAATGTGTATTTTGACTTTTCGAACAATCTGATCACACATTTACTTGTGAAGGCATTAAATATGGAAATTGGAAGTGGAGGAAGGAAAATAAAACAGCCATAACCAAGGTAAGTTTAGAGTAAGGACAAACTGTTTTCGCATACACAGTTGGAGGCTAAATTTGTTTATGGCTAGCGCCTCGACGAACTTAAGTATACCCCCCTGATAGTTTCTATACAAAATTGTAAAGGCTGTTTTAATATCAATTATGTGATCCTTATCAATGATACGTTTTGCAATGGATACTGATGGTTGTCTGCTACCCGCGCT